TTAGGGATATTTTGAGAAAAGTATGTCATGTAGCAAATTTGAACATGTTTGCATTATTTATGTATGTTTGTGAATTCGAACTATTATTTGCTTCCTCATTTCAGACTTGTATTTTAGACTTCAGACTTTTAGACTGTGTATGCTTAAATCCAGTATTTTTCATGGCGCCTTATTTCAACAATGAATTTTACTTGGTTGCACATATGAAGATATAAATAGATATAGTTAGCAGTGTTATAGGTATATGTAAAAGCTCGTGTTGCAGATTCTAGCAATTCTATTTTGATCTGGCAATCATGTTTTAGTCAAATTATTTATATTTGCAGTTTATTTATTTATGCAAATGTAACTCATGTATCATACATTGTAGATAGTATGGTTTGTCGTGTCAAACAGTCATACTATCGGTTCCTTGTAAAATATAAACTAATTGTTCACAGTCTAGACAGACAGTTAGACCTCTGTTGGAAAAAAACTGTAGTGTAGTCTTGATTCAATTGATCTTTGACTGAAGGATTGTACTAGTACTTATGTTAAGTATTAAACAGGACCACGGAAGGATAAGATTATAAGATTTACCGATCGTAGTTATAATCTAGACCTTCAGTAATTAATGCGTACTCTTAAGTTGTAAGATAATATAAAACGGGCATATATATTCGTTACTTGTTTATTTAATTTACCAAGGGTGATTCCTATTATGTTAGGGTGACATACTTGGTATTTTGGTAAATGAGGGTGTTTATATGATGTGATGTTATAGAATATTTACAGTCACTATGTCCTGGTTTGTTGGGTTGATGACGTCCCTGAAATGAGCTCAAGAAGGAATATTATGTCAAGCCCTGCAGGCGGATGTGTATCTGACATAATAATTAATGATCTGAGTGGTACTAATTTCAGAAATGGATATGAAATTGATTAATTATTTTGTTAGTAATTTAATTAATCAACGGACGTTAATCTTAAACATAGGGAGATAAATCTATCAATTTAATTAATATTAATATATTAATTGGAGACGAATTATAATTTAGAGCTAAATAGGGAGGGCAATAATATTACTCTAGTGGAATGTTTTATTATTTAATTTTAATTGTGAATTAGGAATTTATTATATTCCATAATTTAGATTCCCTAAGAATAGGAATATTCCTTCTAGAATACTATCTAGGGTTAAAAGACTCTGGAGTATTCTAGAAGGTAATTGAATATTAGGAAGAATATTATCCTAGATGGGAAAGATAATAGAAAATAATTAGGATTCTTAAACCTGATGGAATAAGCCCAGATTTAGCACCTCCTTGGGGTCCCTATTGTAGAATATAAATACACCAAGTCCTCAATCTCAAGAGATTGATGAGATCACACGTTTTTCACACAAGAGGGGCTGATCAACACGCCTATCTTATGTGAGAGAAAGAGAGTTTCTTTTTCGAGAGAAAATTCGGATTAAACCGAGAGGTCTTAGAAAATGAAGATCAAGAGGCTTTGAGAAATCCAATAATCGCTCCACTAAGATTTATTGGAGATCGTGTAAGGTTATACAATAGAAGATTCGAAGGTTATTAATTTGGATTCCGTTGAATATATACATACGATCATCTCGTCGGGTATATTTATCCCCGCAGCATCTCCGATGGCCACCAAAACAGGAGAGGACGACCATC